CCCTACTGTAACCTGACTCTACAATGCAACAGTATAATGGCAATCATTTGTGCAATGTATAATCTGCAATTACTATTTGGTACCCTGTGCAATAAGCTGTTTCTCTCTATCTGACACCCAGTGCTGTCATATGTGGACGCACTGTATGTATCCCATGCACCTTTTTCTTCTTTGGCACATTCTTCTGTATGAACAATAAAGTCAATCAATCAGTCAATTGGTATCTTAACATTCCACCTTTCTCTCAAAAACAATTCACATGGACAAAGTTGGCAAACCTTTCAATTTGCTTTCCGATTCCTGTTGTCTTTTCAACCCAACACGTTGGACACAATGTCCTTTGGTCTACCAAATTCTCCAGAGATGCTCCCAGATCCAGAAACTGTGAGTGGATAATGGTTTCTTCCAGACGTGCTTCCATCTGTCCTGGACCCAGTGACAGGAACTGCTGCCCCATCTTTGGACAAATCCCACTCCAATGTGTTTTTGAATGAAAAATGCTTTGTTTCCACTGCTCTTCTATGTCTCTCTATATGTCACAACCGGCAGTGTTGGGAAAGTTCTCTTTCTACGTGAACTAGTTCAAAGTTCAGTTCACACATTTTAAAATGAACTAGTTCAGTTCATAGTTCACAATTCCAAAAAACGAACTAGTTCATAGTTCTTTTTTTTCTTTTTTTTTCATATATTGCTCAATTACACCATAGCCTACTGTAGAACCACAGACAGCAATTATTTTATCAGTTGTAACACTGAAACTGTGCGTCAGATTTCATCTTCATATCCAGTTTTGAATCCTTATCCAACCAGGGTTTACATTAGCATTGAGGGGACAGCATTTCCCCATTGTTGCTTTAATGCTTTGTTGCTGTCCATTCACTTCACACTAGTAGCAGCTGCAGCTTTCACCCCTACAGTATATTCTCAAAAACATCAGGAAAAATGTGCTGCTTGAATGGTCTTTTTATGAGTAATTATTAAAAGAAAAATAGGAAAGTAATCTTTAAGGTGCAAATGTTTTTTTTTTTTTTTTTTATATAATTTTTTCCATTTGAAATTCCATTTCAATACATACCAAAAAGGAATCCTGGAATCCTGGAAAATTATACCAGGCAGGTTTAACAAACAAGTTACATGGATAGTAAAACCCTCAAGAACAGGGGTCTTCTTTTCCAGACCAAGGACCCCCAAACTGATGGTGAGATGGAGCGGGGACCCCCTATTTATATATATTGTATGAAATTGTGTCCTATAGTCACTCTATTACAGATGGAGTAATGTAAAGAAATGAATTTCTCCCTGGGATTATTAAAGTTTTTCTGATTCTGATTCCTGGTTGTTGTGAAGGAAACGGTGTCCAGCTTGAAAGAGCTCCTGTGTGTCGCTGAATGTGAGCATTGATGACTGAAAGACATCTTCTGCCTCCATTTATCTGTTTACTACAGTGTGTTGATTTCATGTTAATGAGTATTTAAAGACATTTCAATTAGTGGGGGGAAAAAATGCAGGGGGGGAATATAAAAATATCAACTAACCATGCAGACCCTCATGCAGTACCTCCGTAGACCCCCTAGGGGTCGCGGATCCCCTGTTGAAGACCTCCGCTCAAGAAGATTTTACTAACACAAACTGAGGGACCAGGCTGAGGTAGGAATTTAAGGTTACTGAAGTGCGGATTTTTTTACTGAAAGCCGGCGGGCAAACTTGTTGCCATCATCCTCACCGACCACCTGGTCATAAACCTGTTTTAAGTCGCCTCCATGCTGCTGTTGCTTCCACGCTGCATTTTGCTTTGATGACGCACGCGGCTGTAGGCTACGAGGCTGGTAGCTGGTGTTGCCAGATTGGGTGTTTTTCCCGCTACATATTAAGGCCTGTTTACGGTGTGATTTAGCCGGGGTTTTACCTGGAGGACTCTATAGAAATCTGGCAACCTATTGAACGGAGTTGAACTGAGAGAGTGTGCCGTTCACAGACACCAGAATGAACGAGTTCACAATAACGTTCACCAGGCAGTAATGCAGTACGTTCAGTTCACGTTCGCCCAAAATATGAACGAGTTCATGAACTTTCGTTCAATGAACGCGTTCAGGCACAACACTGACAACCGGATCCAGTGCTTGATCGGTTAGCTTGACATAAATCGAAAGAAAGTTCAGATTTTTGAATTTGAATAAAAGTTTTACTTTGCTATATTTGTGTAACCTTCAAATAACTCTATCTGAAATGCTCTGTAATGTAAAGGAAATGATCTGAAATGTAAAGGAAAAACCATTATTGATAATGAAAGAACTGAAAGAACTTGATCAAAACTGATCATTTTCATTTAAAATAAGTCAAATTTATGTCGTATTAGTAAAACCTCATATTTATATATAGTGTTGCATCACTGACCACACACATCATCAAATGGTAAGCAAAAGAGGTTGAATTCACTAACAAATGTGATTTACATCATGTAGTCTTTCAACATGATCCCTTTTGAAATTCACAATCCCTAGGCTCTCTAGTAGCTAAGCAGCCCTGTTCTTTAAAAGTTGGAACTTAACTCATAGAAGAAAAAGCCTGTTTTTTTTCTTTTAAATGAGGAGTGTATTCTAACTGAACCTCATCAAGGCTTTCTCACTGACTGTATGCTGTGCTTCAAGCAAGGTGACAGGGAAAATATAGACTGGATTTCAAGTGATGGGAGCAAATTCGATATGAGCAATTGGAACAAACTCACTGACAGAGCTTTTTGAAAAGGGGACCTGAAAAATATATGTTTATAGTGAGGTTAATTATCACTGGTATGATTATTTATTATACTTTGTTATTTATACTATTATATGATTATTTATTAAAACTCATATTTTGACCACATCAGTTCCTGTCATCCATCCACCCACCCACTTCCACTTATCCGGGTTCAGGTTGTAGGGGTAGCAGCTACAGTAGGGAGCCCAGCCTTTTGGGCCAGCTCCTCTGGGGGAACCCCAATATGTTCCCAGGCCAGCTGCAAAACACAGTTCCACCAGGGTGTCCTGGGTCTCCTCCTGGGCCTCCTCCCAGTGGGACATGCCTGGAACACCTCACCAGGGAGAAGTCCAGGAGGCATCCTAATCAGATGCCTGAATAACCTCAACTGGCTCCTCTCGACATGGAGGAGCCACGGTTCTACTCTGAGTCCTCCCCAGATGGCTGAGCAGTTCCACTTATCTCTAAGGGAGACCCCAGACACACTATGGAGAAAACTCATATCGGCTGCTTGTATCCAGGATTTCGTTCTTCAGGTCATAACCCAAAGCTCATGACCATAGATGAGGGCAGGAACGTAGATTGACCAGTAAATCAAGAGCTTTGCCTTTTGGTTCAGCTCTCTCTTTACCACAATAGACCAGTACAGCCCACGCTTCACAGCGATGCCGCACCAATCCGCCTTTCGATCTCCCGCTCCCTCTTCCCCTAATTCATGAACGAGACCCCAAGATACCTAAATCCCTCCACTAGGGGCAGTACACCCTACTCAACCAGTAGTAGTAGCATAATATTAAATAACAACAATTGTTCTGTTCATAGTGTACCTAATATTTTTTGCTCTCTCACTTGCATTAACAAATTTGGCTGAATGCTTTTAGTTTAAAATATAATGTGCAGTCTTACATCTCACCAAGATTTCGGAGTTTCATTTTTAAACAAATCATTGTATGAGAAAAAATCATTTAAAAATAAAAACAAATACTCCTGTATAAAGGATTATAAATAACCTACATCATATGATCAGTATTAACTTACTCATCTTGGCAGCAGCTGATTATTTTTGTCCCAAATTAAGTTTTGGCAAGACAGAACTTTGTTTATAGTCATCTCTGCCCCTATTTCTTTAAAGTAGAGCAGCCAGTTTTGTCTCTCTTTGCCTGTGAATGTCATTATTAAGGCTGGAAAATATTTAGATTTTCGGGGAATGACAGAATTTTTAGACCAAACAAAAAATGTGTGTGGTCTAAAAACACAACTTACAAGTTGTGCAATAAAGCATGACCCACAGCACACTGGGGATATCGCCGCCGACAAACAACAGATAATAGGTATCAGGTGTCGATACCTGTTGATATGAGGAAGTCTGTTAAAGTTACTGCAGTTGGAACAATCAGAGTTTTCTTTGTGAGTCGATGACAGAAAAGGTCTTGAAATTGAATACTATTGCTGCTATTGAACAGGTTGTGTTAGATTATGGTATGTAATATGTAGCACTAATCAGAAAACGACCACATTACTAGTTAATTATAAAACCCTTATGCTTAAGAGATGCAATCTATCTCATCATAACATAGGAATCAACTAATTCCTTTCCTAAATCATATTTAAGCTTTTTTTAAATCATATTTTTAGCTAATAAAATAAATTGCTAGTTAAAGCAGCTTTCCAAATTAAATGCAAGATATGCAAGCTTATTCTTTATGCTGGTTTTATTAATAGGGTCACAATATTTTTCTATTTGCTCATTTATACCACCTGCTGGCTTTTGTGGGGAAAAAAAGTTCTAGAAACTGTTTTAATATAAAAAAAAAAAAACCTAACCTAAACCTCACCTAGTCAAAGCTGGATACAAGGTACAGTAGTTACAGGTCATTGGTTTTTCTACGTAACATGTTGTTGTACAAACAGTATGAGGTCATGCATTATGACTTTAGAGTCTGATATAAGTAGTTCGTTAACCTTTACTGTCTGTTTTGCTGTTCATCAAAGCTATGTGACATGGGTACATATTATCTTTATTGGATTATAATTTACCTTGATATGAAGGTTTGGTGGAGCTAGGAGAGTAAAACTGGACTGAATTATAGTTTTGAATGAGGAAATTAATTTCATGGTGGGTAGGTTGAAAACTCATGGTGTGCAGTACAGGAAAACTGAAATTCTGAAATGGAAATTTTTATATAAAAGTGTAAATGAAAGCATTTTGCTCTGAAAAAGCTGTCTAAGCTTTGCCCTGAAGATGTTCTTATTTATTTCTGTAGATTCTCCGGAGTCACACCCAGTAACCTTGGTAACAACACGAAGCTCGTTGATTGGATGCCACAGAATGACTTACTGGGTGAGTATATGCAGCTGGATTTAATGTGGTTTTGCTAATGACTATGAGAAAAGTATTTTAGAAAACAAACAACAGACACAATACAATTACTTACAGTTGTTTCACAGATTCATTATTGTCTAAATGTGAAGGCCGCTTTCTGTTCTTGATTTGTGAGGATAACAACTATCTTTTTATTTTGTTTAAAAAAGTGAAGTGTCTGCAAAAATTAAGCAATTCTTGACTTTTTACTTTTTGATATGTCAGAGCCACGATAAAAAAAAAGAAAAAAAAACTTCAATTATAAACAGGAAAATTATAAGGAAAAACTGTATTTACTGCAATATCATAGTGTATTGCTTAATTATTCAAACTGACGTTTGGCAGAAGAACCAAGATTTTATAGAGAAAGCTCTAAACTAATCAAATATATTTTTCAGTTTAAATGAAAGGGTCTTGTGCATGACTCTGCCATAAATAAAACAGGAATGTAGGACAAAAGGCATGACAGAATTTATTGATGATTTCTGTCCCGTTCAGTAAACTAACCTATGTTTCCCACTCACCAGGCCATCCTAACACTAAGGCCTTTCTGAGCCATGGAGGCCTAAACAGCATCTACGAGGCCATGTATCATGGGGTGCCGGTTGTAGGTGTGCCCCTTTTCGGAGACCACTATGACACCATGACCCGTGTGGCAGCAAAAGGGATGGGAATCATGCTGCACTGGAAATACATGTCGGAGGAAGATCTCTACAATTCCTTAAGCAGCGTCATCAATGACCCTAGGTTTGACCACTTTAAATCTTTGATGTTTGATTTTTTTATCCATGTTTATAGATTATGAGAAGAGAACATCTGTTGAGGCTTTAACAATTTTTGACATTTGATTTGTAAATGGGTTTAGCCTTGAAAGTGTATACTGATTTATTTTAAGTCCTCATCCCTAGTATCCTCCCTTTTTTCTTTGCTTGTGCTGAATTTCTGCTCCTAAACATACAAATAGCTTCAGTATGCATATCCAAGGTATGCATCCTTAGCATAAAGGTGGCACATTTACAGATAAACGGGGAAGAAAATCTACCTCTAGGTTACTACAGAGCATGTCACTCTATACATTCGAAGAATGGTTGTGAAGTGTTCTAGTGCAGAGGACAAGCTCATATCCCAACCAAACCTTCATAGATCTGTGGAAAAAAAAATAGATTTATCTCAAAGAATAAACCTGACTTCAGCCCTCACCTGTTCTCCTTTCTGGATCTAGCCTGCCAATAATGTGAGTTTTTTTGTTTTTTTTGTTTAAATCTTACCTCTCATCCTAAAGATTACCCTAATTATATTTTGAATGCTTATCATTCAGACCTCAGGATGATGGACTGCAAAATACTTGAGACTGGTCGACAGGTCTGTAAATTTACAATCAAAACTAGAATAGGTTGGTTTGGATCGGACGGGCCAAGTCCATCTATAACTTTAAAGCTCGTGACATGCTGTGCAACAATTGAGAATGTTCACCTCATTCTTATAGTAAAAAGTAAATTTTCTCCCCAAGTAATTACACTTCAGCAGAAGCTCAGTTGCTGAGTTCATAGAAAGCCACACCTGTAAATGAAAAGCACAATGGCAGAGGCCATGTTCAAATGATTGAGGAGAGAAAAATGCTTTATATTACTTTAAATATATATCACACATTTTTAAACATTTTCCGACTCTTTTAGCACATCCTCAAAACTACTCATAACCGATAACAGTTACCTCTACATAGGTCCTCACTCGACAAAAGACGAAATTTCGAAATTGAAAAACAAAATTTAAAAAATCATCTCCATTTTTTTCTCCCTGCAAAATTTTTCTAATTGCACAATTATTCTCAGAGACTCCATGAGAAAAAGTTCTACCCAGATGATGCGTTGAGAAGATATAAGAATCCCCAAGACAGGATGGAAGCAAGAACATTGCTTCTCATGGTGAACATATTAACCTTTAGGTTTATCCCTTCTCCATAAAACACCTAAACAAATAAATAACATGATGACATGTTCAAACATTCCAATCATGTTAAAACTAGACTACCTCTAAAATATATAGCATAATAGTTTTTGAAGATTGTTTTTGCACAATTCTGAGTTAGATCCAACCATATTCAAATTTCAGAATAAGTCATAAATTAGTGCTAAACTTTATTCTGAATCTGTGGCAATCGCTAACAATTGCTGTTAGGACATTCCTCCTATCAATCTGACTGAACTTGAGCAGTTTTCCAAAGAATGGACAGCCTTTTTTTTTACTTTATATAACCTTATATAAAATTTTTTCATTTATAAGGAATTGTTAAAAGCAGTATATTTTTTCCATATTGACAATTATGTTGCCTACTTCCTTTTGCTCTATTGCTTAACATGAATGAATATGAATTAGAGTTTATGATTGCAATGTGTCAAATATGTAAAATTGTAAGTCTTAAGTAGTTTTAAAAGGCAATTTGCAAACATGGAATGAAGTATCTACATATTGTGGGTGTTCTCTGTGGGTGTTCCCTCTGGGTGCTTCTTCTTATCCCTCATCCCTGCCGTCTTCCTGTCCCCAGGTACCGCGAGCAGGCTCGTCTCCTCTCCAACATCCACAAAGATCAGCCAGGTCACCCAATCACCAGGGCTGTGTACTGGATCGGCTACATCCTCCGTCACAACGGAGCTAACCACCTGCGCTCAGCTGTATACGAAGTGTCCCCTTACCAGTACTTCCTCTTGGATGTGATTTTTATTGTTGGAGCTACTGGCGCTCTGATAGTGTTCCTGCTGCGTAGGCTGGTACATCTCCTCAGGGCCAAGGATGGGCACCAGAACAGAAGAGTGGATGGCAGCATGACCAATGGACACTGCCACTCTGAGAGCATTGCCAACGGGAAGCACAAACGCAATGGCTCTTTGAAAACCGAGAAGAAGATAAATTAGTATGTCTGAATGGCTAAGTGAGGAAGAAGTTGCCTTAGGGACTCAGCTCTTGGTTTGTTTCATTGCTTTAATGAAAGCATGGAGCAAAAGCTGTTCTTAGGGCTGCGTCACAAGGCAACTACTACTCATAGCGAGCACAAGGCTGTAGGAGGATTAAATGTGCGATGTGTGGGAACAGAGCAAGGCATCGGGTGCTCCAAATCTGTGTGTATGTGTGTGTTTAGATGAATGTTTGTGCTACAAGGCAAAATTAACATTAAAAAAAGAGAAAAAATATAACCACAGCTAAAGCAAGACACTGGAAGGTCTTTTTGAGGATGAAATACAGGAAGGACACATCTATAAGAGCATCTCATCTCCATGTTCTATGCTGGCTTCCTTAGCAGGAGGAGTAGGACGAAGAGGAGCCAACGCTTTATCCTCGGAACAAAGCAACAAATCAAACAGCTTTGGATTGATCCTTTATTTTAAAGCGTCTGATGGTAACTGAAAATAGAGGAAACATCTATTTATTGCTGCTCCAATGCATTTTAATGAGGGAACTTTTTAACTTTGTCTTATTGTTAATTTATTTCATTTGTCTGTCAGAGGTGTGGCAGTATGACCGTGGATGTACACTCCTTACTCTGAGGTCACAGCTTTGTATGAGTCAAAGAAATAGAACACTGACAGCAACAATTATGAATCTGTGATGGCTTTTTAATGTAGATGCAACTGACTGATTTATCCTTGTAAAAATACGTCCTCACTTTTTCACGTAGTATTGCAAAGCTTGTTAACTACGGTGGCATTTCCATCTATTCCTGACTGTCAGCCAACTCTGCTTGGCTTCTCTTTGTCAGAAAGTGATTTTGCTTGGTTTGTTTTTTTTAGATTTCTTTTTAAAGTAAAGCCTTAAACCAGGGAAAGCCAGATGGGACATCTAACGGTCCTAAAGAGACAAGGATGGATCAGAGCATCACGCATTTATGATTGTTGCTACTGTGCTCCAGTTTCTTCATTCTGTTTCCAAATTCTATTTATTAAAGTAAAGAGTTCTTTCTCTGTTGCCATTTTCAGGGTCAAACTTGACTTTGTACATCATTTTTTTCCATTATTTAGTTGTTACTTAAATTTAGGGTAGTAATTTTTACTTTTTAGGAATGCTAGCCTTAAGTTACTTCCACTAACTGTTTCCCTTCCATAAGTCTGGATGGCTTTGTTGCAGTCCATGTGATAACCACCAGATATAGAATATTTCAAGCTTGCGTCTCAAAGTCATCATACAGCGTTAACCTGGGTTTGTTGACAAGGGGAATGTATGGTTAAGCCCTTTGTTGTTGACAGAATTGTTCAACTTTTTCAATGTTAAAACAAATAATCATTTTTTTTAAAGAAATGAATTAGTCTTAAACTTTAATGACTTTGAGAAATATATTTATGAAATAAGATCAGAAAAAAGCCACAGTACCGATATAAACTAGCTAAAGGCCCATGAAGAGCGGGAAGGTATTTGGTAACCATCACCTTTGCTTACGGAAAAGTAAATCCCTTAAATACTTTAGTTATTGAATGCAGTACTATGTCTGTCTGGAGACTGTGGAAAATTTCAAGTGCATTTATTTGGGGGGGGATTTAAAGGTATCCCAAATAGTTTCCGTAATAGAAATTATTTTTTTTGTTTGTTTTTGTATTTTTTTTTTTAAGAATGTTTCAATCTGTCATTTCACTAATAAAACAACATAAAAAATTGATACAGGATGATAATTACTCGCTTAAACTCTAACATCCAATAAGAGCACCAATTAGACTTAAAAAACCTGGAAGTGTGACAAACTTGGCAAAAAAAACAAGGTAAACCTGTCACCATGATAGTAAAAAAAAATACAAATAGAAGATTAATTGATTCCCTGCTTAAAGTTGGAAATCTGTTGCAAAACGTGTTATTTTGTGGTTACCAATGTTCATGATTTATTTGAAGCATTTTACACATCTTTGCCAGGGTTGGCAATTGTTGCTAAGACGACTGTACATGTTAAAAACAAAGAAAACAGTGAGCTGAACAATGTAAAACAGGAAATCTAACTTAAGTTAAAAAAAAAATCAGTTTCTCTCTGTGAGCTACTTTTGACACCTGCACCACAAAACCAGCCCTGCTGAAAAAGGACAGAATCTTATACTTGAATCAACATCTAAATAATCATCTGCACCATTAGCAGTTGGGCGCTGGTGGTAGGTGGAGTTGCAGGTGCTACACAGGCTATGAACGGGGTCTGAAGCTTAAAATTTTTTTCCAGTATTAAAACTGTAGTCTTGGCTGTTTGAAGAAAGATTCAATTTTCTTCTGTTTATTTTCATATTAATGTCAATAGTCCTGTGATGTTTGTATGTGATCAGCTTGAATGCAGCCTCCATAGGTTTACCTACTTGCTCCTTTAGTCGTCTCTTTGTTCCAACCTTCATTCATGGTGTGTTCATGCTCTTTTCTTTGACCTCAGATATATTTTTTCCTCCTACTTTCTCACAATGTTTAGATTTTGTTTTCCCCTCTTTATGGAATGAAAACTTGTTTTATGGTGTAAATAGAATGTAAACAAAATACTAACGCTGAATAAAAGTCACATATTTTGTTTGCAGACCTGATTGAAACCCTTTTTTCCTATCTTGCAAACACAGAAAGCAAATCTTGGAGCTGGAATGTCAGAATGTGTTATCTTACAGTAAACCGGGGGAATTTTTTTTTTTACAAATATTGCTTTAGTGCATGTAAAATACATATTAGGTTTTAAAAAAAAAGTGGGGGGGGGCAAAAAGTTATTTCAGCTGGCAAAACTTTTTTGCCAGCTGAAATAACAGATGAAACCTTTTTTTTTTTTTTTTTTTTTAGATATATATTAATTCCCAAACAGAAACTGCTGAAAGACAACATTTCATAGATTAAACTTTCTAAGTTCCTTTATATTGATTTATTTTTCCTATTCATAGACTGTCCTCTCTGTCTTACAACTGTAAGGAATGGAAAGCTTTATTTTGAATTAGCTGAATATATATATATTTATTATTTAACTTTAGGAAAATCAAGTTCTAACAATCTTTATCTTTATAATATAAAGTTTTTAATTTATATAGAAAATTGGATTTTTAACCTATTTTATTTATTTAAAAAATGTAACTTTTTACTCTGTGTCCTTGCAGCATTGTTTTAAATAAAAGTTAAAACTTTCAAATTACAACATGTAAATTCAGATTGTTTATCATGAATGTTTTTTTTCTTTTATCTGATTAACCAACAGAGAGTAACTGATGGTTAGGAAGCACAAAAATAATAGTTTCCAAAATTTGCAAAATAACTTGTCCACAGTCTCTGAATCAGGTCCACTTTATTAGGATTTTACTGGATTTCAGCCCCATCCGTCCTCCCATTAGCTCACATCCTTCTCGTTCCCACTAAAGAACGTATTCCCACAGCATGATGCTGCCACCTCAATGTTTCACTATGCGCAGTCAAAGTTGAGGGTTAATGTATCATGTTAGTGCTCCACTATATGTGATATTTTTTATGTAGACTTTTTGGGTCTCATCTGACCAAAGCACCTTGTTTCACACATAATGGAATCTCTTGCATGGTTTGTTGCAAACTCCAGACAGGTGTGTTTAAACCTCCTCATGCTTACCACTCCTCCATAAATCTCAGATTTATGGTGAGCATGATGATAAATTGTCCTTTCAATGGATTCGCTAACCTGAGATAATGATATAGATAACTCCTCCAGAACTATATTGGCTTCTCCTATGGAAGCTCTCCCGTCCCGGCCTGTCCTGTTGTCTGTTAGATTTCACTGGGTCTTTTAGCTGTCCCACACTCTGTCCATTGTCTTAGATGATACATGCAGCAGGGTTTAATAGGATGTTGAAAGCTTGTTTCATAAACTAACTTTGCATAAATTTCCCCACAGCTTTCTGACCGACGTGTCTGGTATTTTTCTTTGTTTTCATAATACAAATTTTTTTAAATACAAACTTCATTAGCCATGAGAAGAATGGCTGCATTTACAGTATATTTAGGTTAAATCACCCATAATCAGGCTGAATTCTCATTGGCTTCTAAAGAAATTGATTTCTCTGGATTTGATTTGAGTGGACTAAAGAGGGTTGAATAGATAGTATTAGTATTACTTCACCCTAATGAACAATGGTGGTTTTTATTTAATAAAACATATGTACGTTTAAGTGGTACGAATGTTTTTGCAGAGTACTGTTTGACTAATAAATTTCTTTACTATGAATTGAAGGCTAGTTTTCTTTCAATATCTTAGTGCAATAAAGCATTTAACTTTATGAGAACTGATAAGATGGTTACAGCTGCCTGTCTTCATTTAACACTGGATGTCTAGGCTTTCCATCAGGAACTGTTACTGAGCTGCAGGAGGCTTTTGAAGGTATCAAATGGTTGAATCATCTAAAGTGGCCCAACTGCTTCCACACACACACACACATGCACACAAGCCAGGCGGATAGAGATAGGCTTATCTAATGCTGTTTGCTTGTGCTGAGTGAGGCGAAGGTAACAAAACACCCTGCCTGGTACCTTACTTCACTCACTGGCCCTGTTAATTATTCACCCTGCCTGGAGGGCCCTACAGACCTCACACACACAGCCAGCCAAAAGCATCTGCAGTATGTTTAATTTACGTTCTTGCAGTTGTTTTCTTTTGTTGCTGCCGGTGGCCAATTCAGACACCGTCCTGTTAACGGAGACACGAAGGGGAGGGGCTGGGGATTAAAGGTCTGAACCCAACTGCTGAAGAGGAATGTGATATCACAGAAAGCACAGAGGGCATCATTCATGACAACCTTCATTCATTATTAGCCACACCTCCCTCCTCACATCTTTTAAGTGCCTATTATCTGCTTTTCCTAGTCAGACCAAAGGAGCAGGCCGAAGCAATTAAACACTTTCTGTGGCGCTAAGTGGGCACATCAAATCGTAGCAGAAAAGTCCCGACTCTTAGCTGAAGATCACCAGTCATGGATTTGCCTATAGTTTGACAAGAGGGCGTGCTCTAATCCTGCCGGAGGACCAGGGCCTCAGCTCATTTTTGCAGCTGTTTGTGTTTGTGTAATGTCTGAGAGGTGTGGGACAGTTTAGAAACTGTTGACTTAGCTTGTATGGCCCTAAATGAATGATGGTTTTCCTTCACTGCTTATTCGTCTCTGTCGCAGCATATTCCAAGTGCTCCGCTTATAGATCTGCCCAGAGGCGTGTAATATTTCTTCTAAAGGATTTAAGGGGGACAGAAAAGCTGCCTCAGCACTCAACTGACCATGACAGCACTAAGCCAGGAAAATCTGTTAAGATAATGTTATTCAAATATAATTAGAGTGAGTGATAATCTGAAAAATGTTGACGCATAATGAAAGTCTTTGATTTTACCAAATGGTTGTCAAACCTGATTAAAAAGACACTTCCTTAATACATAGAGTGATGTATCAAGCCTTTAACATCTCACCCAACTCCATTCAACCCAACAGATTGAAATGGCATTGCACAACTCAACACCTCAAGCCCCTGTCACACCTTGACGATTTAGCCAGCGTATGTCTGACGTACAAAATATCAGGCAAAAACACTGGCATACGTTGGATAAGTTATGGGTCAGTTTTGTATAAGTTATGGGCATGCTGAAGCATGCTGGCACGCTACATGCTTGCTGGCAAGTACGTTGAGGTATGCCAGCGTATGCTCATACGTGGGCCATAAGTTACAGGTAAGTTATTTGATTGTTGACGTACGCTAAGTGTAAGTTACACATAAGTCGTGGTGTCTAGCTTATCCAAAACCTATGAGTAATTGTGCAGAACTTATGCGTAACTTATCAAGAACTTATCTCCAATGCATATCAAAGCATTTGGCGTGTTCCAGACAACCGCTTAACGTGTTTCTAACTTACAGCTACTGTACTGTTAAATGGCTGCGTTTTTGGTATAAAAGTTGGTTCACAGGAGGAAACCGTCAAGACTCCTCCAGACTTCACATCCATCATAGGTTGAGAGAGAAGATGAGTATGATGGGTCCTCCCTGCATTCACAACCACGGCCAAAACAACATACTTCCTAGCAGACGTGATGCTGAATGTTCTGTGACTGCACACCTTTTTTCTTTCTCTCCCTCCTCACCCACCCACTGGCTTGTGAAATTTCATGGGCAATAAGCTGCCGTTATGCAGCTTATAACTTAGGCTGTCGCTGGACATTAGTCCTCTATGTTTGGGGATGCCTGTTTTAGAGGATTCTGGGATGTGGGGCATACACTGGCTAAATCGTCAAGGTGTGACGGGCTTCACCAAAACATGGCCATGTCCTACAGGCAGGCAACAATGGCATTATAA